CCACATAAGGATTAATTCCCCAATACATGTTTCCATCTAGAAACTTCACACAACAGGCATTATTACTGGAGAAAACATTTCAGTAGAAAATGCAAAATCTAATTAGAGAACAAGGAAATTATTAAATAGTTTATAACACGGAAGAACACTGCACCGCTAAAAAAAAAATAACCAAACAATATGAAAACAGAATTTTGGTTTAAAATTAATGAAATCTAAAATTTCATTCAGGGTAAAGTAGAGGCGCACTGATGCATCATCAGTCCATATTTTATTGACACTGATGCAAGGAAAATTGACATTAATCGGCGTTTTTGGCTGATGTAGCCAATAATTTCATCAATAAGAGAGCTCACCAAAAGCATACGGGAACATGTCCTAGCTAAAAGGGAGGCGCACACCCAATGGAAGGCAGGGGCCATCACCAGAGAGGACTATACCTCAGTTGCTCGGGGATGCAGGGGGGCAGTCAGGAAGGCCAAGGCGAAGATGGAACTGGGACTAGCGACCCGGATCAAGGACAACAAGAAGTCCTTTTTTTAAATATATAGGGGGTAAAAAGAAGGTACCGGGTAATATGGGGCCTCTGCAAGACACACTAGGAAATCTGGCCATTGCACCAGACAGCAAAGCTAACCTATTTAACAAAGTCTTTGCCTCCATTTTTCTGAGCAGGGACTGGGTCAAGCCCCCCACTGGGACCCCTGTAGGACCCAGGGGAGGTGGACCCAGGCCTAGGGTCAGTGAGGACCTAGTCAGGGAACTTCTGGAGACACCAGACGTATTTAAAATCAGCTGGTCCTGACGATCTCCATCCCAAAGTGCTGAGGAAATTAGCAGAGGTCATTGCAGGACCCCTGGCACAGCTTTACAAGCACTCATGGTGCTCTGGTGTGGTGCCAGAGGACTGGAAGAGGGCCAATGTGGTTTCCTTCTTCAAAAAAGGGAGGAAGGACGACCCAGGAAACTATATGCCAGTTAGTTTTACCTCGATCCTGATTAAGTTTTTTGAGAGAATTATCCTGGCACATGTCCGCGAGGGGCCAGCAGGGGAGACTATGATTAGGGGCAACCAACACGGGTTCATTAGCGGCAGGTCCTGTCAGACCAACCTGCTGGCCTTCTACGACCAGGTCACCAAATCCTTAGATGCAGGGGTAGCAGTGGACATAGGTCTTTCTGGACTTTCGGAAGGCCTTTGACACTGTCTCTCACCCCATTCTTATTAAAAAACTGGGGGACTGTGGTGTCGACACCTACACAG